TATACGCTCTTGATCTCATCGATCTAAACGATCAACTCTCTCTCTCTCTCTCTCTCTCTCTCTCTCTCTCACTCACTCGGAGGTACCTAAACAAAAGCCTCAACAAAAGCACAACGCGACGTTTCCGCCTTACCTGGTTGGTAGCTTCCGGCTTTGTCGCTGAACTTGCCACTAGGTGGCGCGTATATCTTCCTGTCTTCTTTCGCCACGGTCGTCGTCGACTTCTTGGCCGGCGTGTCGCCGCTGTCAAACGTTATTGGCGTTCGTTTTGTTCTGTGGGAGATCGGAAGGGATAGAGAGACGAAGAAAGAAATATCAGTATCTGGTGGCTTCCAGTGTACACTTCTTTTGTTCTGTGAGAGATTGGAGGAGAGAGAGAGAGCAGTGCTGCAGTATTACAAAAAAAGTTCGAATCGAAAAAGTATTTATGCATGAAAAAGGTATGAAAAAAGTATAAAAAGTATATTTTCTTTAAAAAAAGTATAAAGTGGCAGCACTGAGAGAGAGACACAGATAGAGAGAGGAGAGAGAGACACAGATAGAGAGAGGAAAGAGAGACACAGATAGAGAGAGGGAGAGAGAGAGAGAGACAGAGAGAGAGAAAAACGTCATAACGTCAGTATTTGGTGGCTTCCACCGTACACATCTTAAGACAACTTGTCCACGACAAATGACAAATGGCGATGGCAGCGAAGGATGGACATAATTATGTGTTTCTCATTAGAGAGGGTTCGAATAGATTCGGAGGAGAAACGTGCGAAATCCCACCCATCATCTTCGCAAACCGACGCTCACCCGCAGGTTGCTATCAAACACGGTCAATTCTGTACAGTATTCATCAAGTTTTGTACAAATTGAGATGATAATGACTTTGACAGTAACGAGCAAATATAATTATCCCTTTTTTTCCAAAACAGCTCGGCTGCTAGCCATGCTACGCGTTAATAATCGTTAATAACGTAATTAACATCGCTAACGAACTGAACGTGAACCACGCAGTCGCTGATTGCACGTTGGTTGACATGGTTACCACATATAAACAACACACGTGAGGGGCTCTTCGTCATCAAGGAGCTAAATATAACAAGGAGAGGAAGCGGATTGGCTGTGTGCTTTTCGCCTCAAGGACGCCATCTATGGACCATAATCAGCTGAAACGGCCGTGCAGATCCGTCCCTCAGAGACAATAGAACACTAATCTGTTCTGGACCAATATGACCAAATATGGCAAATATTTGGGCCAGATATGGCAGCGCTTCCTCTCCTTGTTATATTTAGCTCCTTGTTCGTCATTTCTGAGTCGGCGCGAGGTTACCCGTCCGTCGCTCGCATGCAACGTCCGCACGCTGCACGACCAACGCAAGTTTCCCTCGTGTTACATTTACGTATTCGGAGAGCAAAGTCGAGCGACGGGTGAAGATGAAACGCGGCGGTTGTTCACCCGGTGGTGAAGACCCCCCCCCGTCCTGCGTCGCATGCACGCACGCTCACCCCGTCGCCACCAATTTCACGTCGGCCGCCGCCGCCGCCCTCTGCGTTGGTTTCCACGACAACGTGATGGTGTTCTTGTAGGACGGCGGATTGTGGAAGAGGTCCTTGATGAGAGTGTTGATGTTTGTCGTCATCTTCAGCGCCAGCACTTTCAGTTTGTTCTGTAATGTGAAGTCGCACGACCCGATGATTCGACGTCTATTCTACAGAAATATCGGAACCTCTCGCTCTCTCTCTCTCTCTCTCTCTCTCTCTCTCTCTCTCTCTCTCTCTCGCTCGCTCTCTCTTCTCTCTGGCTCTCTCTCAGCTCCGCTCTCTCTCTTCTGCTGCTCTCTCTCTCTCGCTCGCTCGCTTCTCTCTCTCTCTCTCTGCCCCTCTCGCTCTCTCTCTCTCTCTGCTCTCTCTCTCTCTTCGCTTCTCTTCGCTCTTCTCGCTCTCTCGCCTCTCCTCTTCTCTCTCTCTCGCTTCATCGCTCTCGCTTCTCTCTCTCTCTCTGCTCTCTTCTCTCTCTTCCTCTCGCTCTCCTCGCTCTGTCTCGCTCTGCTCGCTCTCTCTCTCGCTCTCTCTCTCTCTCTTTCTCTCTCTCTCTCTCTCTCGCTCTCGCTCTGCTCTCTCTCTCTCTCTTCTTCTCTGCTCTCTCTCTCTCTCTCTCTTTTTCTTTTTCTCCTCTCTCTTTCCTCTCTCTCTCTCGCTCTCTCTGCTCGTTTTCGCTCTCTCTCTTCTCACGTCATGGACCGTAGAGTTATTCACGCAACACTTCCTAGATAATTTGTTTTCATTTAAGATTATCTTCAATTTAGCGCGGTTCACCGATCCATACTTTTTAAGAAACTACACTGCGGAACCAGGGGCCGTTGATCAGAAACAAACTGAGTCGCACATTAGTCGTACCATTACTTCACTCGCTAACGTGACAGAACATCGCTAAGGTACGAGAACGAAAAATCTCGCGAATCATCCTCATACATTACGAGAGCTCAGACCCTCTCGCTTAACTTTAATATTAAGTGTTGAAAATAACACATTTACACTAGGAGATTACAATTATGTGATTATTATATTTTATAAATAATGAGATAAAATGCTGTGTTTTTTCTTCGAAAAACACGTCAAAATCATTAAATTTACTACCGCCTAATAAAACAAACAATACATTTTACAAATGGCGTATGGCATTTGTTCTCTCTGTTTAAATGTTTTCCACGCTTGCACGATTCTCGCCGTCTCCGGATGTCAGTGTGAGAATTTGTTCTTGTTGGTGCAGGAATAATTATGACCACGTCGTTGTCATCAAAATTATTATTTATATGTGGTTACCATCATAGATATGCATAAAATTACTGTGATGTACAATAAATTTGTGTCATGAAATTTTGAATTTTGTGATTGATTCTCATACCAATCAGCAGCCTTTGTGGATGACAGTTCCTGATTATCGTAAGTTTTTCTAATAGCTCGCCAATGTGTTTCTGTCAACGCTAGTTCCAGACAACATAATAGCAATTAGTCGTACAGTGTTATCGCTACATTAACTTTAGCATTAACTTCACGATGTTTCTGACAACGGGCCCCGCCCGAACTTAAGCTGGGCGAATTAAACTTCGACAATTTTAAGGGCCAGTACTTGTGCAAACTCACGCGCCTGACCGAAAACATTATTAGCAATGCTACGTTATATTTATTTTATATATATATGTATTTATCTTACCTCATCAGATTTCAGAGCCTCTCCTGCCTTTCCATGCAGAGCTTCTCTCAGCTTCTTAATGTAACCCTGAACTCCTTGCGCAAAGTACTGCAGTCTGAAAGCAACACAAAGAGCGTTAGGAGCACAGTGTTCAACTAGAACACTAGGTTTAACTGTTGCCAGTAACTGTTCGTTCCTTTGTTTGTTTGTTGTTTGTTTTGTTTGTTGTTTTTAGATGTTCATGTAGCTCTTGCTTATGTGAGATGTTATCATTCTTATATATTTGTTAAGATGGTGATACACACGGCATACAAAGCAAGTGTGTAAGTCGCACGTCCGGCACCCCCCGAGTCCGAGTACCGCAGTCGGTCCGCACCCCCGACGGCCGAGTCCGAGTCCGAGTTCCGGAGTCCGATCCGCGCACCCGGACGTCCGAGCTCCACACCACGCCGAGCTCCTGAGTCCGAGTGCCGAGTCCGCAGTCCGTTTTGCATTTAAAAAAAGAAGGCTGAGCACAGACCGACAAGGCCATCACTTCTATTATGTGTGTTGCTTCAAAAAGGGGGGGGGGTGGTGTTTTCCGTGATCCCCTGGATCGTGGCTCACTTGTTTGCATAAAATAGAAAGCTTACCATTAAACTTGTATAAGTCGACACTTTTTTTGGGACGAGCATATTTGTGTCGCACTTTAGCGCAAAATAACGTGTTGGAAATAAAATAAATAAAATTTAAAAATTGTGCTTATTGCATTGTTTACGCTACGACATTTCTATTGTATCGTAGAATGTAGATTAGTCGCAATTCATCCGACTTCTGGCTTATGAGATTGCATCTGGGAAAAAAGCGCAACCGGTGATCGCTAGACATTTCGAAGGTGCTGATAGTCAGCCGAAACACAAGGAGACACGGTCAATACGAAACGTGTCAAAGTAACGGATCCATTTGTGTTTTACTGAGAATGAACGGCTTGTGAACAAAATGAGAGAGTTGCTAGCTACTTACCTACTTACTAGTACCTACTACCTGCAGCTGGTAGAGGTTCATATAGTAGTCCTCTAGCTACTCGCACATAGGTTCTATGACATTCATTTTACACGCTTTGCTGCCTGTAAATTCACTGCTGCAGCCCGCAGTTTAGACGCATTGATTAACCGCGCGCCTCGTGTACATTATATATGCCGTGGTTAGCAATACGTATTGCATATGCGCGTGAAACTCGGCCCCACGCGCGATTTAAGCGCGACAACAGCAAATCTTGACTACTCTGTATGTAGTTGGCTCGAGCCGGTCTCGCACCCGAGTCCTCGAGGTCCGGAGCCGGCTCGAGTCCGAGTCGAGTTCCGAATCATATGCACTTCGCAGGCCGAGACGAGACGAGACCAACCGGAAAACGGTCTCGAGACCGCCGTCTCGAGGACCAAACCGTGGTCTCGAGACTACAACAGCGTATACAGAAGACAAAGTAAGTGCATATGATGTAGCTAACATACACACGCGCACGCACGCACGCCACGCCGCCGGCACGCAGCGATGCCACACAGGCCTCCGCTCATCTCATTCCTGCCCTTGAGCAATCCATGTCTATGTGCACCGAAAATAGATAATTACGTATATATATATTATATTACTATATATATATTATACATAACATACAATAATATTAAAAAACAGAATTTAGCCGGTGACATAATTCAGAGAGCATATCACTTTCGCCGACGCTTTTCGAGTCATTTTCCCTTCAATCAAGGCTGCTCAGCCAGACAGCAAGGTCGAATCAAGGTGCTAATAACTACGACTCTTCAATGTTATACCGGGTTAACGGTTTCCTCAGGCTACAATATTACAAATAGCATTCTATATGCTGGAACAAGGAAATCTAATAAAAATTTATCTACTTTGAGAGTTCCCCGGTCCACAATCACAGCATTCACGCACGTACGCACACATTCAACGCACGTACGCAACACACACACACACACCGCGCACACACGCGCCGCACGCACACACACAACACACCACAACACACAACACACACAACAACACACACACACACACACACCACACACACAAATCGCGTGCACGCACACACACACACACACACACACACACAAACACAACACGCGCACACACACACCACAACACGGCGCAACACCAGAGCGCGCCACCACACACACACCACAACAAACCATGTGCCGCACGCACACACACACACACGCACACACACAACATTCCCCCCTCCCACACACACACACAGCACACACACCTGGACCGGAAGTCCTATGAGTGATTCTTGCGTTGGGCGGGTGAGGAACTTTCTGGGTGCTGCGGAGCCCAGCTGACTGGAACGTAGTGCATGAGACACTCGGCGTAGGAGACAGTGAGTTTGCCGCTCCGCCTCGCTCGGCGTTCTCAGTTCTTCGCCCGTTCTCTCGACCGCCGGCGGCGGCCTCTGTGGCAGTCCACGGTGACTCTGCACGAAACGGGACGAGATGAGAGAAGCGCACGATCAGCATCGTAGACGAGGACGCGACGTCATTGAGGTTGAGACATGGGAGGGATGCAATGAGACGTGGTGACAATGAGAAATTGGCGATGGACGCCATGAGACGTGGACAATGAGACATGGTGATGCAAGCACGCCATGAGACGTAGACAATGAGACATTGGCGATGAGGCGCATGAGACGGGAAAATGAAGACATGGTCAGATGGACGCCATGAGACGTGACAATGAGACATTGGTGATGAGACGACATGAGACCGTGAAAAATGAGAACATGGCGATGAGACGCCATGAGACGGCTGACAATGAGACACTGAGCGATGAGACGCCATGAGACGTGAAAATGCAGACATGGCCGATGAAGACGCCAGGGAGACGGTGACAATGCAGACATGGCGATGAGGACGCCATGAGACACGTGAAATCGAGAATGGCGATGAGACGCCATGAGCACGTGACAATTGAGACATGGCCGATGAGCCGCCATGAGACGTAGACAATGCAACAGGGTGAGAGACGGCATGAGGACGTTGACGAAATCCNATTACGTACACACACACACACACACACACACATCCCCTCCCCACCACACACACACGCACGCACGCACGCACGCACGCACGCACGTACGCACGCACACACACACACATTCCCCCTCTACACACGCACGCACGCACGCACGCACGCACACACACACGCACACACACCTGACTCGGAAGTCCTTCAGTCGTTCTTCGTTGGCGGTGAGGAACTCTGGGTGCTGCGAGCCCAGCTGGTGGAACGTGTGCATGAGACACTCGGCGTAGGAGAAGTTGAGTTTGCGCTCCGCCTCGCTCGGCGTCTCATTCTCCCCGTTCTCACTGCCGCCGCCGCCGGCGGCGGCCTCTGGTGGCAGGTCCAGGTACTCCTGCCGACGGGACGAGAGAGAGAAGCGCCACGATCAGCATCGTAGACGAGACGCGACGATGAGACATGGTGATGGGACGCTATGAGACATGGAGATGAGATGCCATGAGACGTGACAATGAGACATGGCGACGGGACGCCATGAGACGCGATGATCATGAGACATGCGCGCGACGAGACGTGACCTCTCTACGATCTAATAAGCGAAACAGGGAGCGTGCTGTCTGCGTCGCACGCAGCGGTACACACCAATACGTACCACGAGTCGCGCGTAGACGGCCCCCAGCTTCACTGCGGGTTCCGTCACATCCGGAGCGAACGCCGCCATGTCGGCGAGCAGTTTCAGCAGCTCCAGCTGCATGTCGCTGCCGTCGCCGCCGACACCGACGCTCGCTAAAGAGGGCAGCACCTGCGCGCACATGTAGCTGACGAAGGCTGTCGAGTGAGCATTCTTCTGCAGGGGAAAAACCGACGAAGTTCAGCGACAGGCGACACGGCAGGAGAGGCGTGGCGACGCGCAAGGAGAGGTTCCACGACGCGGAGGGAGAGGCGCGGAGGGAGAGGCGCGGCGACGCGGCAGGAGAGGTTCCACGACGCGGAGGGAGAGGCGCGGCGACGCGGCAGGAGAGGTTCCACGACTCGGAGGGAGAGGCGCGGAGGGAGAGGCGCGGCGACGCGGCNCTGGCCTTTCCATGCAGAGCTTCTTCTGCAGTCTTAATGTAACCCTGAACTCCTTTTGCGCCAAAAGTACTGCAGGTCTGAAGAGCACACAAGAGGCGTTAGGAGCACACGTGCACTAGAACATCTAGAGTTTAACTGTTGCCGGCAACTGTTCGTTCGTTTGTTTGTTTGTTTTGTTTGTTTGTTTTGTTGTTTTTAAGAGTTTCATGTGCTCTTTGCTATGTTGAGCATCGTTATCATTCTTATATATGTAGATGTGTACCAAAAACGCGTCGATACAAAGCTACGAGTGTTTAGTCGATCGTCCGCCACCCCCCGATTCGACGTCGAGTCCGAGTTTCCGACTGTCCGCACCCCCCGAGTCCGAGTCCAGCAGTTCGTCGAGTCGGGATGTCCGAGGTGCCGCGCCACCCGAGTCCGAGTCCACACCACCCGAGCTCGTATGTCCGAGTTCCGATGTCGAGTCCAGTTTTGATTAAAAAAAAAAGATAGCGGTCGAGCATGCAGACTTTGACAGGCCATTCAACTTCTATGTATTGTGTTTGCTTTCAAAAATGGGGGGGGGGTGTTCCTGTCCCCTGCATCTGCTCACTGTTTGCATAAAATAGAAAGCTTACCATAAAACTTGTTATAAAGCTCGACACTTTTTGCGGACACGAGCATATTGTTGTGCGACTTAGCGAAAATAACGTGTTGGAAAATAAAATAAAAAATAAAATAAAAAAATTGCATTATGCATTGTTTACGCCTACGAACATTTCTATTGTATTGGAATGTAGATTAGTGGGCAATCATGCCGACTTATGGCTTATGAGATTGATCTGGGAAAAAGCGCAACCGTGCATCGTAGAACATTCGAGTGTATAGTCAGCCGAAAACACAAGCAGACACGACGTCATACGAAAACGTGTCAAAGTAACGGAAATCCATATTGTGTTTTACGAGAATGCACACGCGCTTTGTTGAACCAATTGCAGAGAGTGCTAGTACTTAGTACTACTACCTAGTACCATACTACCTTCGAAGAGTGCCGTAGTAGAAGGTCATTATAGTAGTACCTGATAGTTACTCGCACATAGGTTCATTGACATCATTTACACCTTTTCTGGCCTTATAATTCACTTGCCTGCTAGCCGCCCAGTAGACGATTGATTAACCGCGCGCTGTGTACATTATTATGCCGTCGTTTTGGAATACGTAGTTTATGTATGCGCTGCGTGAAACTCGGCCCACGCAGCGATTTAAGCGCGGACAAACAGCATCTATGACTACTATGTATCGTAGTGCCTTCGAGCCCGGTCTCGACCCGAGTCCTCGAGTCCGGAGCGGCTCGAGTCCGATCACTGTAGTCCGAGTCGTAGTCAATTGCATCTTCGAGGCCGGAGACCCGAGACCGAGACCAAGGAAATCGGTCTCGAGACCTCGGTCTCGAGACCTGATACCGGTCTCGAGACTACAACACTGATACAAAAGACAAAAAGTAGTGCATCATTGCATGTAGTAATCATACACCACGCGCACGCATCGCGACGCACGCACGCTACGCACGCACGCGATGCACACAGCGCTGATGATATCATATGCCTATGAGCAATCCATGTCTAATGTGCACCGAAAGTTAGATAATTACGTATATAATATATATAATATATACATATATATATATTATACATAACATAAATATATAAAAACGAAATTAGTGCACAGATTTCGCAGCGCGATTCATTCGCGAGCTTTCGAGTCTTTTACCCTTTCAAATCAGTCTGTACAGCAAACAGCAAGTTCGAAATCAATGGTTCTATAATACGACTCTTCAATGCCTGTTACGGTTTCCTCTAGCGCACTACAATATTACAATAGCATTCTATATGACTGCGTGAACAAGGAAATCTAATAAAAAATTTCTACTTGAGAGCTTCCCCGTCCACATACACACATTCACGCACGTACGCAGCACATTCACGCACGTACGCACACAACACACACACACGCAGCACACACTTGCGCACTCACCACGACACCACAACACACCACACACACACACACAACACACAGACACACACCACCACACAGCACACACACAAATGCTGTGCACGCCACACACACACACACACACACCACACACAAACACACACACGCCGCACACACACACACACACACGCGCACACACGAGCGCGCACACACACACACACACACAAATGTGCGCACGCCACACACACACACTACACAACACACACATTCCCCTCCCCCACACACACACACACAACACACCACCTGACTCTGGAAGTCCTTGGAGTCGTTCTTTCGTTGGCGGGTTGAGGAACTCTGGGGTGTCTGCGGCAGCCCCAGCTGATGCGAACGTTCATTGAGACACTCGGTGCGTAGGCAGAAGTTGAGTTTGCGTCCGCCCTCGCTCGGCGTCTCCTTCTTCGCGTTCTCTCCGCCGCCGTCGGCGGCCTCTGGGTGCGCAGGTCCAGCCTACTTGCCTGCCGACGGGACGAGAGAGAGAAGCGCCACGATCAGCATCGTAGGACGAGACGCGACGCATGAGGACTGCGTGATGTGGATTACAATGAGACGCTGACAATTGAGACATGGCGATGAGACGCCATGAGACGTGACAATGAGCACATGCTGATGAAAGACGCCATGAGACGTGACAATGAGTGACAATGGAACGATGAGACGCCATCGCAGACGTGAAAATGAGAAAGACTACTGAAGCTTAGATGGGACGCCTATGCAGACGTGACATTTATGGAGTGACATTGGTACATTGAGACGCCATGAGACGTGAAGGAAAATGAGACAGTGCGCGCATGGAGACGCCATCAGACCGTGACTATGAGAGCATGTGCGCATGAGACGCCATGAGACGTGAAAATGGAGACATGCGCGATGCAGAACTCCATGAACGCTGACAATGAGAAGCATGGCCGATAGACGCCATGAGATCAGCTGAAAATGAGAGCATGGCGATTGAGACCCCCATGCCAGACGTGACAAGTGAACCCCCATCAGGCGTGAGCGCCCATGCAGAGTGACAACGTGAGACGTATGCTTCCGGAGACTGTCATGCGTGCATGAGAGACGCCATGAGATAGACGATAGAGACAGGCCGATGGGACGCGCATGAGACGTGACAATGAGACCATGGCGATGAGGCGCGGTGAAGACGTGAGACAATGAGGACATGCGATGAGACGCCATGAGACGTGACGATGGAGACATGGCCCGATAAGACGCACAAGAGACGTGACAAATGAAGACATGGCGACGCGGACGCCATGAGACGCGATGACTCATGAACCATGCTCGGTTACGAGACGCTGAACTTCTCTACGACTAATAAGGAAAACACGGGAGCCTGTGCTGCTGTCGTGCGTCGCCACGCAGCTCGCCGTAACACACCAATACTGTAACCACGAAGTTCGAGCCGTAAGACGGGCCCCCAGTCTTCACTGCGGGTTCCGGTCACATCCGGAGGCAAACGCCGCCATGTCGGCAGAGCAGTTTCAGCACAGCTCCAGCTGCATGTCGGCTGCGTGCAAGTTCGCCGCCCGACACGACGCGTCGCCTAGAGAGGGCCAAGCACCTGCGCGCCACAATGTAGCTTGATCTGGAAGGCTGCTCGAGCTAGGAGCGTTCTTCTGCAGGGAAAAAAACCGATGGGGAGAAGATTCAGTGAAGCAGGCGACACGGCAGGAAGGCGAACGCGGCGCGTGAGGGAGGGCTGCGCGGTGACGCGGCCAGGAGAGCGCTGTTGATATTTAACAATTCAGCAGGTTCAAGAATGTAATTAAACAGGAGGTCATGATTTGAAAACTCAAGCACACAGCAGTGTCTTTCACCTGACAATATACGTCATACGATTTCCGGTGTTCGGGAAAAGACACCAGCTCAATCTCTGACAACAACGACTCAGGATCCCCACTTATGGAGGTGACAAGGGTTGCTACCCAGTGGAGGACCAGAGTTTGAAGCTTTCTTATTAACATAGAGACACATGTGGCCCGCACTGCGTCGTCAAATTTAACAGTGCGCCGTTGGTGAAACTGGTGCCTGTTTTTACCCGCCTGTTGTGCAAAATAAGTGTGCAATCCAAAATAAATGATCACCACTGTTTCTGGGCATATTCAGCATTTCATGTGCGTTTAGTTGAGTCATGTGACGCGAGGCGTCTTTCTTGGTCATTGCTGACGCGTTTTTCCCAGAACTTTTGCCCATTTACCTGCCTTTGTATCAATATTCCCTCTTCAGAAGTAATACCCGGCTAGACTTAGAGATCATGTCCGACTGCAGAAAAAGCTGCCGCCTTCAAGATAAGCCGGGCCGACTGTCTCGCTCTCACGGCACACGGCGCTTCGCGAGTTATATTTCGCCGCTCGATGCCCGCACGAGACGCATCAACAGTGCGAGGGAAACCCACCTGCCGAGCGGCGTAGTTATTTACTCATCGCGAGTTAAGAAGAGCATGGCCTGCTTAACAGCACTGATCAGCTCCCTTGTCAAACACACTCCACATCCTCCGCGCCTACAAACAACAAACAACAACAACAAGTGGGAGGTACAGGTTCGCTGGGGAATGCCGGAGTGTAACGACCACATCGCATCGTCTCCGACTAGCGCGTGCGCTTGAGAAGCATTCACTGGCTCGATAGGGGGGGGGGGGACGCCGAAATGCCCAAACACCCAACACCCGTAACCTGTGAGCAGCTCGAAACACCGCAAGGGAATTATTTTCTTACATTTATTATTATTATATTTAATTTTTTTCTTTTTTAAAAAATTATAATTATTATATTTAGTTCTTTTATTTTTTATTATTATATAATTATATGAGTTATTTATCTTTATTCGCGGCTACGACGTCGCAGCGATCAGCGCTGTCTTCTCGCTGCGTCTTACCTTGAAATGCTTGATCGTGACTGTCTGGCTATGTTTCGGGGTTTGACATGTCTAGCAGCGCTCTTGCGTCCCGAGCAGCGTCTGCATCACCTTCAGGTTGCGGAAGAGTGTTCATGAGCAGTGAGATTAAAACTCATCGCCCGTTCCGTCCTTCCCAACACCTGCAGCCGCAAAACGGTACGTTATTAATTAGTTACTTTAATTAATGTTTATTACGAGTATCGTCGTATTTGGACAATTGAGTGCTTTTGTCCTCATTTTGTACTTTCGTATTGCGCATTTTGTAAATTTGACCATTTTATCTTTTGAAAAATTGTGCTATTTACGATTAATGTCAAGTTAATCGAGCGGCAGAATGGTGATTAACGCGATTCGTTACGCGACGGCGATTCCTGACGTTGGTGGTTAGGTCAAATGCGTCCGAGTCTGGTGTCTTCACCTGTTACGATCTCTCTCTCACCTCGCTCCCATCGCATCTCGATTTCAAATACTTTTCTCGCACCTTCTTGCCGGCCTCGACGATCGTGTTTCGACTGTCGACGTTGAGCGACGTCATCGCGACAGTGGCCGCACGCTGTGTGGCCAGAAACTATTCGCTCTTTTCGCGCACAATTCCTCGCCGGTCGACATTTTCTCGGTGAAGAGTCCGCCGCCAATGTTCTGCGGTGAAGACGAGAAAGGCACGTGCGAATAAAGCGCCAAAAGAACCGGAAATGTTTCTTCTGAGCGGAAAATGTAGACAAAGGACTTGAATGGCACAGCTTTGGGGAAAAAACCATGCGCCATGGTGGATGCAAAGACATGCCTCAATGACTCAATAACACATTTTCACAATGACAGGCTTCTCCAGAGAACTTTATAGTACCTGGCGGCCCTGCCAGGCTATGCCGAGCCCCGCCACTCCTAAATGCACCCGCCACTTCTAAATATCATAGCCCATGCTAGAATATCATAGCCCCCCCGGAACAAGTGAAAAAAAATTAATTTTTTTCTTTTCCGGGCTCTTTTGCCAAACTCCCAGTCAATATTCAAGACAAGTTATTCATCAGACTGACATGACTAACAGATAATCACAACGCACAATTCACGAACCACAAATGCCACCTTGAATAGTGAATACATCACAGGGTTCAGCCTAAACACAGAACTATTACGGCTAGCCAAATAGTGGATGCTCTGCCTTAACTGAGCTAGCAGGAGGATCGATTGTTTTATACGCGATTAGTCTCTTGCGGCTGCTGGTCCAAGGCGCCGCGTAAGCGGTTCCCTGCGAAGTTCAGGGGGTTTTGAGAACAGCGTGCACCGCGAGGCACGTGTGGAATGCGGGCTGTCACGATACGACGCCTGCGTACGCTTGCCTGCTGGCAGGGGCGGCATTGATTGGAGGTATGGGGCGGGCACGTTGATTTGCAGCGTCGGCTACTAAATCATTACTTAAAATCACTACTAAATCACTACTTAAAATGTAGGGTTGGTATGCTGGACTATGACGAGAGCGACAGCAAAAACTCTTGTCGGGATATTTGGACCAAAAAGCTACAATCGCGATGACACACGATGTGTGCGCAGGACAAAATATACGTGTGAATTCATTAGGATGTTTCCATGGATTACCGTTCTATTAATCCTACGGGTCTGTCCTCACTTTTGCGTCCTAACGGGTACTACGTAGGCCCGCCCGAGGACACCCGCACACACGCACGCAGCCGCAGCACCACCGCACGCACGCATTGCAGGCACACACGCACGCACGCCATGCAGGCACGCACACGCGGCGCGCAGGCACGGCCACGCCACGCGCGCAGCCACACAACGCAAGCACGCCCGCAGGCACACCGGCACACACTAGGCCACGCACGACACGCACGCGCGCAGGCACACCACGCAAGCACGCCCGCAGGCGCACACGGCACGCACCGCACTGGCGCGCGCACACACGCAAGCACCGCTCACAGGACACAGTAGTATACGGCGCTCAACGTACGGAGGCGGCACGCGCTTGATTGATGCATACAAGTACAGTACACACATGCATGCTTATGATACACTTGACAGCACACGTACCAGGAATTCTACCGCACCGTGGGAACCGTGCTGCCGCTAGCGGCAAGCGGAGCCGACGATCGGCAAAGCGCGGCGACGACACTGCGACAATTCGATTTCCGAGGGTGACTTTTGCTTTTGGGGTCGCCGCCCGATATCATGTTTTTCGGGGGCTCTTTTTGGACATTTCCGCGGCGAAATATCTTGCCCGCCGCCCCCTTGTATTTTTCCCCTGCCATAAACCCCCTAGCATGCAAAGCGCCTTCGGCAATTTGCAACTAGGACCGTAAAGGCAGCACCCGCCATGCTATAATAAAAAAGCTTGGAGAACCCTGAATGACGATGTTAAATTTGACAACGGCGGTGCACCACTGTGCCTCTTATGCATAAGAAACCCTGGAACTTCTCTGCGGGTCGATTCCACGTTGGTTCCGCCCACGCCACTCAGCCGACTCACGCTCGCGGGCGGTGATTCGTCCCCCGCCTCGCTTCCCGGGTCTCCCCCGTTCACCACGACGCAACGACTGAACGAGCATTTCGAGTATCGTGCCACCATAACTCGCTCGGCGCGTGTGCGACTGCACGATCTTAAATGCCCACTGTTACGCGCGGGGCCTGTTCGTTTTGGGTCAAATCCGTCTGAGAGGAATCACGCGATGTGAGCAAACGAATGCAAACTCGCTTCAGACGCGTCACGTTTCGCCGTGACCAAGAACTTGGGGCGTGTGCATTTCGAGATTACAAAAAAAACAAGAACTCGGGGTGTGGGCGTTTCAATTTTCTCACCTTTCGCGTCGATTTCGAACAGCGACATCAGCGAGGCCTGTACGACGCCGAGCTCCGTAGCATCCTCGCTCTGAAGAAGCTGCGCGAGCACGTCTGCTATCTTCGGCAGGTGAGCGACATTATCTTTGCAGAGCTTCGGCAGGTCCTTAATTGCTTGCTTTCTGATCTGCAAATTAAATTTAATTCAATTCAAATTACTTTATTTACACTTTGGGATTGAAATTTTGGAGGTAACATGTTATTTAAACAGGTTGATAGACAATGCTAGTAAAATTAAAACATATGAAACTAAATAAATAGAAGTGATGTAGGGTGACATGACAGAAGAAGCCAAGTGATCAAAATTCTGTACGAAATCATCGACAAATAAATGGTCATTTCCGTGATGTCTTTTATGTCTAATAATTTTTATGTTGAAAACCTTTGAAGATTGATTTCTGCAAGGGTAAATTTATGGACTGTATTGCGATTTCAGTGGTCATAATGTAAAATTTATTGTGGGTGAATTTCCTTAACCCAAGTGTCTATAGGGCAGATATCTTTAGGCAGGGTGCAAAATTAACGGGAGTCCGGAGTCAAATACTCCCTGATTTACTGTCGGACTCCCTGATTTGACATATGCAGGAGTCCGTGCGACTCCCTAAAAATTCTGCAATACTAACTAGTTCGTTCCAGAGCACGGCCTCGCGGAATTACTGTATTTTTTCTGCTAATGTCCAAAGAAAATTTGGCAGACGTGCAACTGCATGAATCTTAAAAATAAGCACATGTATGCATTATTGTTAATATCTTTAATTTTGAACCTCAGACTGCGGACTCCCTCATTTTGCTGCGGACTCCCTCTTTTTGAAGGTAGGGATTCCGTTGGACTCCCTTGTTCAAAAGTTAATTTCTACCCCTGCTATCTTTTGTACGGCTGGGAGTATGAACATCACGCGTATATATAATTTAGTGTGACCATCACTTTCGACACATGCCATCCTCAAAGTATCCCGTTTAAGTTTAGCTTCTTTGTCTCTGTCATTCCGTATTGGAAATTCTCTCTCCGTTCCTCTTTAGTTAGTTGCAAACTCGAGGCTTTTTCTACTGCGATCCGCAATATTGATCTGTCTATTTAATCAACTTTGGTCTTGTTCCTTTCGTCATCGATATAGTCCCTTGAACTTTGAATACTAATATTTACAAGGTTACGAGGTATTAAAAAATATATAATTTTGATATAGATATATATTATCTTATTATAATATACAATACAATAAGGTCATAATAAAGAAAAGGGTAAAACAGTAATTAGGTACAATGAGCAATGGGATGACACAGTAAAAACAAGTATATCAGGTATAATATATTAAGTAATTCAGGCACGTATGGGGATTTATGGGATACTCCAAAATCAGCCCTCGGCTTACGAGGCACGTCGGCCCCGACACGCAATTATCGTTAAGGGCCAGCCTGGGGAGAACCCTGCACCCCCATTCCCCAGCCTCCGTCCCACACCGCCACCGCCACGATGACAAAGATCGCGAGTCCGTAACTCACGGCAACGTCGTCATCCTCGCAGAGGTCAATCTGGGCGTCGAGCGCGCGCGTGGCGAGGTCAGGGAAGTGCCGGAAAAATCGTGCGATGAACTGAGAAGCGAGACGCTTTTCGTTCGGGCCGCCTCTCGCCGCCTCCAAGATCCGCAAGTACTCCTCCTGGTGCTGCAAGAGAGAGAGAGAGAGAGAGAGACTCGTCAGNAGGCGAACACGCCTACTCGACTCTGCGTCTACGCGAGATTGCGATCAACTTTCCCAGCAACAAGAACTTTGTCTTTCACTATCATTTCCTGGAATCAGCGGCTCACGTAACCAGTGAAACAATTGGTTCATAACCCGGTCAGCGTGCATAGCGTTTATACAATGCGAAACACAGTGTCAGCAGAGACTGCGCCATAAGATATATTTAGATTTGAATTTTGTCGGAGCGGTTTTAATTCAAAGTTCAATTCAAAGGGAAACAAGGAATCCTGTTCAACATAACATTATGACCCTAATGTATGCAGTTGCGTGGTTGGTCCTCTTGCATTCATTATCTTTCTATTTATATCTATTATGGTTCTCTTCATATTACTCATTGTAGTTTCACGTTTAAAATCATCGTATTTTGCATTTTTCGACGAAGTACAAGACGTTGCAGCATGCGCTATCAGTGACAGTACTTAAGTGTAATTCGGATAAGATTTTCAGTAAATTTAACTCTTATACTTCCAAGGTATGTTTCATTGTGAATAATAAATAGAAATTAGACATTTCTTAGTAACCAGCAGTGATATTGGTTCAAGGATAGAGAACATGAGTCCCAATAAAACCAATGTAATTTACATCAATATAAATATAATATTACATTATATAATAGGTTAGGGTTATGGTTAGGATTCGGGTTAGGGTTAGAGTTAGGGTTAGAATTAGGGTTAGGGTTAGGTTTAGGCACATTGGTTTTATTGGGACCCATGTTCTCTATCCTTGGGCCGTGATATTGGACAAACTAATACGCGTTTGGCTATAAGGTAATGACTAATGTACTTATTATTATTAACTAAACAAGGTGCCAGTTACTGTAGCATTCGTCAACTTTGCATAATCAATGGGCCTATTATTCCTTTAAGTGGAATTTGGAGGTGGCATGGTAACAGCTAGCGTTTGTCCACGATCATGTAACACACTAAAACAAATACCGGTACTCGGTAGTACTTTTTTAGGCCTATATTTATCACAGTGGCTATATGCCCGGCTGCCGGGCATATATAGCCACAGCGTATATTTATTTAGGTATACGAGGTGTGGCGAACGAGGGCACACCGAAAAATAACTAGTCAACTGATTTTCAATGCTTATTCACGAGTATGGATTAAACACATAATTGAAACGCAATGCAATCGCAGAGTGGTAAAACAAAGCCATGATTATGCACAATGCGAATGCCGATAAGTCGCTAATATTTTACCTCTCCTACTTTGTCCTTAGCCTCTGCTAATATCCCGAATGTTTTGTATAGGTCTTCTACAGTCGGCATATTTGAATTACTAAGTCGTTATGCTAACGTTAGAAAGAGACAGAAATGTACATATATGTGTCAGTGTGTGTTTGTAGTTGTAAAAACACCATGAAACTGGTAAATGAACATGCTATGGTGCTATCGTGCTATCGATGACGCTTGCGCCCTGCCATCTGCTGGCCGAATACTATAGCAGATTCTTTCCTTTTTCTATATATTTCTTTCTTTTTTATGAGTTAATAAATAACTTGAAAATGTGGTTATACATAACTTCTAATTGTATTGCGGCGAAATTAGTCGTTAGTTTTGTGTTTTCTGGATCAGTGCTATAAAAATTCAACAACCTTTACCTTGTTATACGCAGCTATATTTTTTCATCTCAATCTCTTCATCTGAATCTTTCATCTCAATCTTTTTCATCTCAATCTCTTCATCTGAATCTCTGTCATGAATCAGCATTTAATTATCTCTATAAAATAGGAAAATTTAGCCTACCTCCAATGTGTGTTAAGGGCTTAAGGTGTAACCCGGCATGTTCAATGTTACTACGAATATATAAAAACATTTATATAAATGTACGTGCACGTGTGCGTGCGTGCGTGCGTGCGTGCGTGCGTGCGTGTGTGTGTGTATGTGTGTACGTGTGTGTGTGTGTGTGTGTGTGTGCGCGTGTATGTGTATATGCGCCAGGGGCGTAGCCAGTATGTAGCACTGTCGGCCCGGGCCTACACTTTTTTTGGCCAAGTTATTATTTTTTTTAAACACACATAATTCCAATCCATAAGCTTGCTGGACGAGTTTAAGAGTCTAGGCAGGAAAAACTATTGAAATGAACGTAGCAAGAATATGGCTAAATTAGGTGACCTATTCTTCTGTCATCTAGGCTTTCATTCCTATCGCGTGCCGTTTCATTCAACCCTCTCCCCGCCGAAAAAGACTAGGATCCGATCTTGTCAGTTTTTTAACATTTTAACTCGTTC